CTAGTTTTTGCCTCTTTTAAATACCCTACACTTAGTCAAGAGAATTTTCTCTGCTTTCTCAGATAGTCAGTTTTATCTCAGAAAATGTAAACGTAAATAGTATTTCACTTAAGAAATTTATACACATTTGTACACAAGTGCTTAACTAAAAAAATGTTTAATAAATGCTGCTTTTACTAATGGTGACGAAGCATCAATTACTCCACATTTTTGTAATCCCACTAGCCGCATCATTGTACTGAAGCTTCGCATCGATCAATTTATTCGATACGTATCTAGCGGCACCCTAATGCCTACCCTTTGCTTTGATGATCGCCACAAAGTTTCTGATACCTAGTCATTTATATTTCAAAATACATTATTCATCATTAATAGAAATTTTTATTTCTGAAGAGGTGTAGTAGTTTCATAACACTTTTTAAAAGCGTGTAGAAAATTATCTAATCTTGAATCACTTACTGACTATTTATAGCAACTCACTCATACCCGTATCGGAAAATTCACTACATATTTGTGAATATCGTATTATCTCATCTTAACAGTTATATATGCAAAAAAAATTGTGTGTAAAGCATACAGGTACTCGCCTTCTAAGTTTCGATAAACTTATCCAAAGTTATCTAATTGGAAAATACTTGATCGCGACCAAATTTTATTTTGATCTGTATCAAGTATTCCAAGTAATCGGTTGATGCGATCAGTAACACGAATGTAGTATGTAGTGGAGCCAGATTAGATGCTGATTATGACATATGGAAATGTATCAGTGGTCAGTGAGGACGTTTTTTTTCCTTCCTTTTCCTTTGCTTTTCCTGAATATTTGTCCCCATGTTACAATTTACCTTTAGTAGCAACTGCTTATAGAACAAACATCCTTAACTACTGTTTAATTATGTTATAATTTTTCTCGTCTGCCTAAAATCCATATAAAAGTCACATAAATCACCTAATCCTGCCCAAGGAATTAAGTACTATAACTTTACTCCTACTAATTATTTTTATTTCGGTTCGAGTTCACCGAAAATTAAGGGCATAAGGTTTTGGAACAATCGAATCGATGCCTTGAACGCATGACTTCAAAACTTGTGGTCGTAACGACTCGTATGACTAGCGTAAAAAATTCCTCCACGGTCTCATCGCTCGCTTGCGTTAATTAGTTCCGTATAGGCCACCGCTAACTCGCGTTTTTCTTATAACGACACGATTGCGACAGTCAGGACCGTATTGGTCTCACAGAGGACAGATTTTCGATTTTATCGGTTCGGATTTCTAAGGTTGAATAGTTTTTCTCTTAAATAAATTTTCTAGAATTAGTAGCGGAGCTACTTGTACAAATTGTAACTCTATCATCTAAGTGTTATCTAAGTCGGTAACGAGGTTGTTTGGAGCTTTGGTAAGTCTAGGAAGTCAAACGATGTCACCTTAGTCTTGATACAAAGGCATAAGCGTCATCAGAGCTACAGGGCAGTGAGCTAGCCAAACTAGACTCATGTACAGTCCTACAGCGCCCTAACTTTTCTGCGGTACTGTTAAAAGAGTTGTCAAGACTCTCGTGCAAAGATTGGTACCAAAAAAACTCCTGGAGAGTAAAACTGTTAATTGGAATCAGAAAACATCTAGAAGACAGCAAGTGGTGGTTCTGCCAGGAGACAGATTATCATGGCTCAAATATTGTGAGAATTGGACTCCTCCTTTTGCCCAATTTATTCCTACGACAGATACTATATCAGGAGAGGACCAAACTGTTCATCAAAAGAATATTGGATTCACCATCAACGATGATCATATTTTGTTTTCCCCATCATCTCAGTGTTAATACTACAAATCCTGATCTAGAGGCATATTAAATGCTTTTAGAATCATCCATGAATTTACTGGATTCACATTTAATATAAATCGTTAACGTGGTTCCTAGCTGCAGGATATTGCACCCACTTAAGTATGTCAGTAAGACAAGTTCGGTTGGACGCTGATGGAAGTTGGATTTGAGAGTGAGCTTGACAATAGAAATTCGCTTCCGTTTTCAATAAACTATTATAGGAACTTCCTATCATCTTTACGAATAAAAATGAACGTTCCTATAAAAAACGTAAGTAGTAACTGAAAGGGAAACAATGTTCAGGAGCTGGGAGAAAAAAGATTGCTGTCAATTTTTGGTACTGTGTCTACGTTAACATCGTTTTCAATTGTGCTTTGTCTCCGTTTTTGCATATTTTCTCTTATGAAAAGTGAAATTTATCATCAACTTCAAAACTAATTTAATTTCATCTTTCTTTCCCTTTAGAAATCGTTATGGAAAATGGCTTTGTCCAGAAATATTCAACAATAGCCCTTATCGACAACATATTCGACATTCATCAAAACCTAGTCTTAAGTGACATTGTTTTCACCCAGTGCGACTCTGTATGGTAGTGAAACATACAGTTCTCCTACTTTAGAACCTATTAATTGGCGTGTACCGACGTCGATAGATCATTTTTATTCCACCATCGAACATCTTTGGTATTCAAGGTTACTTCCTCATGGAGCAGGTATAGAAGCATTGTCGTATTGTGTGAGGCTTTTTTGTACAAGCCGCAAAAAGAAAAGGAAGTGCTATTATCGTAAAATCGCTGTTAGTTTATATCGGAATTCTTTATTGGTGTACTTTTTACTGAATAGAATTTACTTTCGTGCTCTAAATATAAAAGGGCCATGCGTGTGTTATATTTTGACGGAACTGTTCACTATTTCATTGTGAATACAAGTTAAATTATCGATTCTAGTAAAAAAGCATACCAACCAAATGTTGCGACAAAAATTGATAAGCCGACCGCAAAATTGGCATGACTAAGTCTGTACTGCTGGTTAAAACGACACGAGTGTATCTTTTAGCAAGTACAGAGACCTCACCCTTCCGTTCAATATGGATTTTCGTAAAAGTTTTACCAGCGGGAAATTACCTATGCATTATTAGGTGAATAATACACGGGTATTCGTCATACTAAGTTCAACCAGGATGTTGTACAAAATCAATATTGCACAATGATAAGGCCGACACTTCATCGTGTTTACTCAAATTCTACCACCTTTTATAAAACGCCGTAGGTGATTTGATTGTAGAAATGCCACTACTTTAATTATCACTTGATTATAAAAATGTAAGTGATATAATTTAAATAGGTAAACAATGACATAGATACTTATAACTATGCACTTTTTATGCAATTTTTAAAAAACAAACTAATGTTTTTACATTTCGTTACGTTGTACTGCATAATTGCACAAAAACCTTTTCTTGGGAATCTTATGTTTTGCAATATTGACTCATTGCCATAGTTAAATTCGCAATATTTTCCTTCGGCCCGAAAAAAATTAAATACCGTTACCAAATTCAAATATTTTTCCAATTAATTGAAGGTCATTTTATGATAAATTAGACTTTAATTCGCCTTGTTTTTTCTCCTACAACTTTTTAACTTGTCTGCGGCGGGAAATTAAACATTAATTTTATTCTACTTACTGGAATTTACATATAAACGCGCCAATAAAGGATTAAACAATTAAAATTCCAAATGATATACTGAGACAGTCGATGTCCGCTATAAACTACGAACAGATCTAATTAACACATTGCTAAAGAAGTTGTTAATCGTAGGTTTTAATGCCACAAGCGCTTCCATATCCTGCCATTAATGTAAATTGTAACTTGTAATTTTAATTAAGATTTTTACGTCGCTTATACCTTATACCTCTGAGGCTGTTACCGCTTGTGATTTTTCTAAAGTATATCTCAACATGAAAAACGAGTAACAACTTCGCTATATATTTTTACAAATAGTACAAAATTTACAGAATTTTGCCGAAAATTTATAATTGCCTTGTAGTTCGCAAACGATAAAATATACCATCATGTATATATTTCAACCCCAGATCTCAAAACAATTTGAAGACCCCCCCGAAAACGCGACAGCCACCCCAACTGCATATCCTTACCAACATATCAACAACAGTACCAAGTCATCAATTTGCCTTGCGTTGCCTTTCAAAACCATATATTGATTTGTCTCCCCTACACACAAATTGACTCCCTATCCTATGTATAAAACTTGTGTCATGCTAATGTCAGTCAAAGCGCATTTAAATATAGCCAAAATGTATAGGTTTACCATTTTTCTACCGATTTCCGTAATTGTGAAATGACCAGTACACCAGTATTCGACGCAAGAAAGGTCCAACCTACACAGTGACACTAAAATCAGTCCGATCGGACTACCCCTGCGCCCAGCGGTCGTGACCGAATATTTAAACTTTAAAGATTTATACCCCCCAATACGTACTTTTTCCTCTTCAAAAACTACAGTTACAAAATTACGTTAAAGCTACCTAAACGTAACTAACCTAACCTAAACGTAAGTAGACCACTAAAGTCAATTATTACCGTCGTTTTTATTACACGAGACATTAACGTTTCGTGATATAAACGATGCAATTACGCTGTACTCGTGACTGTAACTATTAAAGCTGGTAAGACACAATTTTAATTAATTATAATATTCTTATATTATATAGCAGATGTATTAAATTGTAGTCGTATTGTGGAGGAAGAGATAATTATTAAAGAAAAATTGTTGGTAATATGCGGAGGTACAAAAATATACTGCTATTTTAATTTGTCTAATTTTATAGTTAGTTGCAAAACAAATTTTTGCACTATTCAAATTACGTTTATCTGTGGATATGGATAAATCACACGTCAACTGCTAGGTTGCAAAATTGAACTAAAAAAAAATACATCCGGAAAGGTTAAAAGGGTTATATTAACAAATTATGGAATATTAAGGATCTGCGGTTTCAAAGCCCAATTTTCCCCAGAATTATGGACCTTTAATTATGGCATGACCCTGAAAACTGAAATTTTTTTTACTTAGTTTCTCTAGGTCTTAGAAACAGAAAACTGGCTAATATACAATTTCAATCTACACGAATTTAATATGATTTTTATTTATTTATTTTTTCAGCCAGGAGAGGGCGGTATTATCCTGATACCCGGCGCCACCATCGGCGACTCCTTCACGGACGAGGACGAGGAGATCCTGCGTTCCCTGGAGGGCCCGCCCAGTCCCTGCGACGTCATCTTCGTAAACGACAACATCCTCATCGACGGAAAATCTAGTCTAAGCCAAAAAACCAAACGGACGAAGGTGAGTCTCCCGATACTTGGGAACGGGTTTCGCGGGAAGGTCGCCGCATTGCATACATGTTAAGTGTAAAAACGGGTTTGCAGTTTGCTTATGCATGCATTCGGTTTGTTTGGGCGGCCACTTAAGGGGCGCTCCGATCAGTAGCGGCACCACGGTTAGATATTGAAAGAGTTAGGGTCGTTTATCAAATTTAAAAAAAAATGAATTATTAGGTACATACAATAATAATAATAATAATATATATATGGTAAACATAAACACAAACTACTTGTGATACGGAAAAATCGAATCGCTCATTGTCAACCGATTGTCAACTCAAACAACTTGTTTTGCCAAAAGTTTACTTCATCTTCAAACACTAAGCAGAATCATATTTGTTGCTTTTCGTCTTGGTTTCTCTTCTCACCATCCTCGCAAACAAATTCGTCAATACCTCCGCGTTTCCAAATTCAAGGACTCATAAAAATTTATAAACCGACACGTTAAAAAATCTTTGACCTCAGAGCTTCTGTTTCTGTTGCATAATCCCGTCGTGGGAAATCTAAAACGAGGCGCCCGTTTTATAATGTCAAGTTCATTGCTTTGAGAAAAAGCCACGCATTAAACAAGATTATCTTTAGATATTTATTTTTTAATATCATTATCTAGGGGAATTATCAAATTAAAAAAATGTAAATATTGACGCTTTTCGTAGATATAATGGTGAGCCTCTAAATCTAATCGGCTTTTTTTTTTTTCGTTGAGATAGGCTAATTGGCTACCTTTCTCTAATTTTAATTGCTTGTTTAAATGCTGGTTAATTATCATTTTAATTTATAAATAATTTATGTCTAATAGGGGGGTATTGTTCCACAAAACTATTATCGAAGTTATATTTACAGATGTTTTCATACAATATAAAAGGTTTTTATACGATTGTTATTTAGGTCTTGAGCTTTTACTTTTGTTTATTTATTGAATCAATTATCAACTTTTTACTTCGAAACGGCTATAAAATATACTCATACTAATTTAACAAATAATTGTACATATATTCAGATGGAAACATCATATATTCAGCTCGAAATGTCATATATACAGCTGGAATCGTCACATATACAACTGGAAACGACATATATACAGCTGGGAACATCATATATACAGATGGAAACATCATATATAAAACTGGAAATGTCATATACAACTGGAAACTTACATAATATATACATCTGGTACGTAATATATAAAGCTATAAACGTACATACATACAGCTGGAAACGTCATATATGCAGCTGGAAACGTCTTATATACAGCTGGAAACATCATATGTACAGCTGTAAACATCATATATACAACTGTAAACGTCATATATACAGCTGGAAACACATGCATACAGCTAGAAATATCATATATAAAACTGGAAACGTCTTATATACAGCTGGAAACATCATATACAGCTGAAAACGTACATATATACAGCTGGAAACATCATATATACAGCTGGAAACATCATATATAAAACTGGAAATGTCATATACAACTGGAAACTTACATAATATATATATCTGGTACGTAATGTATAAAGCTATAAACGTACATACATACAGCTGGAAATGTCATATATGCAGCTGGAAACGTCTTATATACAGCTGGAAACATACATACATACAGCTAGAAATATATATAAAACCGGAAACGTCTTATATACAGCTGGAAACATCATATATAGCTGAAAACGTACATATATACAGCTGGAAACTTCATATATACAGCTGGAAACGTCATATATAAAGCTACATATGTACAGCTAAAAACATATATACAGCTGGAAACATCATATATACAGCTAGAAACGTCATATACAGATGGAAACGTCATATAAACGGCTGAAAACGTACGTAATATATACAGCTGGAGAAAAGAGGCTGGAAGAGCTAGAGATAACAAAGACTGCAGTTTATCTACGTAAAGGTGCAGCGGTGTACCTTACTTTTTTAAATCTATGGAGAAAACCAATAAATATACAGAGTGTTGAGTAGAAGACGTCTGTGCTTTCACTCAAAACCATGTTGACGTTTGTCAGTTGCAGAGCCGCACCCTATAGAAGCAATAGTAATTAATAGCGGCATAAATATTTTTTATTTATTATATTTCCGTGATCTTCGCTTCAATTTCTATGCAATAAATAAGCCGAGATTAGAACGCATCACTTAATTATTCACAATCGCATCTAACTGGGTCACGGTTGTAGAAATGTTTTTATTTTTAATTTATGAACATTAACAATAAAATACTTCCTATAGAAGTCGCTTCCGGTCTGACCAATAATTTCGAATTACGCAGCGTAGTTTATTTAAATGTCTCCGTGTTTGGTATTGAAAATTACTAACTGGGTATGTGGAGCATTGAAGGTTGTTTGCTGCCGATGACGAATGTTTTTAATTATCAACTTTAGCATTGTTTTATTAGATAAAATTCTTATCATATTTTTGCTTCAGCAGCACGTTAGAACCATTCATACGGTAGTTAAATTGTTTAAAGATAAGATGAGCTATTTGCTAAGTATTTGCAAACACAGAAGTAAAAAAATGTGTGGATATGTTTAAAAAGTTATCAGTTTGATTGTTATTTATGAATTCGTACGGTGAGATTTTTAAATTGGCCAATTTTTAAAAGTATGAAACTCACGTAACGCTTTGGTTCATCACATTTCTTAGGAATTCTTTAAAATAATATTAAAACGAGGGAATGAATTCATTTAGACAAAATTTGGGGCTTGCTAATTCTCGCATACTGTTAAATCGGCAGTGCCAACACCAGCCTATAATAGTATCTTGTATTTTAAAGGGTAAATCTACAACGGATACGAAATATCAATGCAAAAAATATTTGAAATTGTTTACGTTAATATTTTTACAATAAAGCAAAACTTCAACAGTTCATAATAGGATATTATTATTTTTTAAATAAAGAATTGTGTTAAAATTCACTGGAAACATAAAAGAATGCGACACTGATTGACAAATTGGAATTAAAACAGCAGAACTTAGATAGTTCATAAAAACATTATTTGAAACGCGGATTAAATCAGGTAAAATTTGCAGAACTAATACTAACCCTACAACAATTTTTACTAAAATATTTCATAGAAAAAGCTATTTCGACACCAATAGACCATTTTTTTTTAAATTTATTTTGGACGACTTAGTGTTTGAGAAGACACATGTGTCATCAGGAAAATGTGAACAATGACTAACAAAACAGTTAAAAAGGTTAAAGTTCAAAAGTATGAGGAGGTTAGATTAATCGAATAAGTTCATACATGCTGTCATCATTCTAAGCTACTTCCAGTAAATGTTACGTTTTCGTAATTGTAAAATTTCAACTGAACGAGATATTTTGCCATAGTGACAACAGCTTAAGAACGCCATACACGACACATTCTATCGGGCGCGCCTTAATGACAAACAAACAGCCTAGTGTGGAGGAAAGTTTGTCTGTCAAATTTTAAATGCTGACGTTTTTTTTTTATTGATTTCTTACAAACATATTTCAGTCGCTGGATAGTTGTGAATAATTTGAAAAATTATGCGTTTTGTTGCATGTAAAATATTTCAATTTTGATTTGTAATTTGTGCGAGAAAGAGACGGTGATCTTTATAAATATTCACGTCTTATGTCATATGGCGTTGAAAAAATGTTGATCTCATCTGCTGTGTCTATTTCTATTCAGAAGATGTTTGAAGTCTTGTGGGTTGAAGGTCAGCAGAGACCGATTATTTTTCTGGCGAATCTATTAGTCACATTTCAAGTATCAATGTCAGAAAAACAAGTAACAGTAAGAACCAATTTGAATTTATTGGATCGCCATCACTGATAAGTTTAAAAGTTGTTTTAAAAATTGTTGCCTACGAAAGTCGAGTGTGCAAAATAACTTAATAAAGTCAGTTTAATTTTATTTTTCCATGGACTATTAATATTCTCCAGTAATTTAATCTCTTTGAAAATCTACATAGATACATATTGCGATTCATTTATTTGGTTATTTAATTGTGCTACGGGTGTTCCTTAAACTCTATTTTTATCAGGTTTTGTTTAATTTTTGACGTGCCTTGGAAATATTTTTCGAATCCGCATAATCTACAGCAACGTTGCAACGGTGAACGCGAAATTTACTGATGTTTCCAATGTCACTGATTCCTGCAATTCTGACACTACGAGGGTTTCTGTATTTTATAGATAGTTACGAACACGCCTTAGGGAAATCAATTACCCACGAGCTTAGATAACTGTATACCAGCCATGAATTTGAGATTATGTACTTTTATCGGACTTTCTTCCGAGAAATGCCAACCGGTGGCATCCATATTGAATACACAACGATCATCGAGCGGCGGACCGTGAATAATTCATTCAAATTGTTCGAAAAAAAAAATGTGGCTCCAGTCGCGGTAACAGGAAATAATTGGTCGCATGCGCGATTATGGAACGTTTAATTTTTTTGTCGTGCTGGTTTACTTTCTATTTTCTTTATTTATATTCCGCAGCGACCGAGCCTGGTTCCTGCGGAAAGAGGAAACCGAGATTGTGGTATGGTTCAACGAAAATTTTAAGGTTCGGATATTAATTTATTAGATATGGAAACATTTGTAAGTGTAAAGTCTTATATTTCACCTTAAGTCAGGTTAATATAATTATTCGCCTATCAGGACTCTACAAGGTGTTCCTTAGATCCAGCAAACTGACAATGACTTCTTGACCTGACTACTTTTCTTAATTATCCTCAAAACCTGCTAAATGACACCTACTATAAGGTTCCAAATTCACAAATTTTCGTAGAAAGCTCTATTCTAATCTTTTCTGTCGTCATCTCTAGTAATCCTATTTCCTTTATTTCTAAGTATAACCATTGTTTTTCGTTTGTTTCCAAGTATACATATATTTTTTAAGGATTAACGAGAAAATCACTGTTCATTCTATTAAAATAATGGAGCGAATACTTGATTTAACGTTAATCCATT